CTTTGGGCCCCTTGGTACCAATTGAGCATCGTTGCAACGCCACAGCCTACCTGAGTATTGTTGCTGACCATGTCCATCCCTTTATGACCACAAAACCGTTACTAGCTTGGTGTACCTAATAAAGTGGCCGGTGAGTGTAGCTCGCTCACACCGAGGACCTATCCATGTCTTCATTTACCCAGAATGCTTTGTGTGTAAATAAAATGGCCCCGTCCGTGTTAAATATATTTTAAAAAATATACAAAACTAAACATCCTACAGTATTTTTACAGTCTTTATTTTACAGTTAAAACAAATGTTTTATCAAATAAAGTCTAATGTTACAACTAATCAGGGGTCTCTTTTAAGCTGTCATTGGTTGTTCACTAATCACCAATCAAGCTAGCCACATCCCTTGATCATCACAGAATTAAAGGAGGCAGGGAGTGTACCTCTGTCTGTGTCTTTTCTTTGCCTGGTTGTAGACAGAAGTCACACATTTTGGTACAGTTGTGAAGGAGGAGAGTTGAGCAAAGATCATTATCGTGTCTATTGTTTTATGTTATTTAATAAAGCTTAACAGGATSACTCAGCCTCCATGCACCAGTTAGCTAAATACCAGTACAAACCACTTCCTCCAAATGTCCCCTGGGTTTTTCACAATACAAGCACATTAACATTTACATACATTTACATTGTGCATTAAATTATCCATGCACGTCACTGAAGAGTCAAATACCACATTCAGCAATGGCGAAAATGAGAGTTATTTTTTATTGTCAGTCAATATAAGCAGCAGAATCACCACCTGCTGCCACTTATTAAGCTGCTCCAATAATAACTTTAGCTTGCTAGTGAGCATTGAGCGGTGCTGCGAGGATAAGTGTCCCCCAGGAAACAGTTCAGTGTTGGGCACGACGAATCGTTCTGAACATGTTCAGGCTATTTAAACCAGTATGTTGGTATTTAAAAAATGTATATAATTCTGAAAATAAAAAAGGATTTTGGTACAGATACACCCCCCAGCACCAATGTCAAGTTGTTTCATTGTGTAGTTTTATTCAGTTGCTCTTTCTATGTATGGCTGTGGTGGAAGGTTTTTTTCACTGGAGAGATATACAGTAAGCTGTGTGTCAACACAAGACACATCAAGTGTTTTTTAAATCAAATATTCCCATATTTGTTTTTCTCCTCCACCTTTTTTTAATCCCTTTTAGTGAATAATAATTTATTCTTTGTTGATCAGCATGAAAAAAAACAGTTATTTTGATTATTTTTAGCCTGTTTGGATTAGAGATGTTGAAAACCAGTTCTTATAATTATCAYGTGGCTGATCTGATTTTTATAGAAGAGATAAATTAATTTTCATTTCAAGACAGAATGCACTGATCAGCAAGTCTGAATAGAAATCACTTTCYTTTTCCAAAAATGTCCGTGCCGTTTATTTATCATCCTTTAGCCTGTCCTGACTGATCCTGATAAGAGCAAACTGTCTGATTGATGTAGTTTTAATAACCTAGTGTTAAATAAGCTTTTAGCTTTGAAACTTGTATTTTGTGATTACTTTAGTTATGTTTGCTTTGTTGTAGCTTATTGTAATAGATTTGTGGAAGGTTAGGGTTAAATAATAATGAAACTTTGATGGAGTTGTCCAGATGACTGAGTGATAAATTGATGGCCATAATTAGTTGATGATAAAATTACATTACAGCAAGGGATTGAACAGATTTACACTTGATTATTTTGTGAAACCAGAATAATTTGAATAGACTACAAGTGTGGGTCCACAGAACAGCAGTGAGTGTGTGTGAGTGTGAACATTAACAGGGTCCCACGTCTTGTCATGCAGCTGCTGGGCATCGTCCTGAGCTGCGTCTTCTGGAACCTGCTGGTGGACATGAGCAAGTCGGCTGACATGGTGGACTTCAAGCTGAAGAAGTCTGAGTTCGAGTACAGCGAGCTGGACCTGGCCGGTGCCGGCTGGTGCCTGTGTCTGCCGAGAGACGGTGGCTACCTGCCCGTCCCCGCCTCTGAGCCTGAGCTGGACCCCATTGACATTCACCTGGAGAAGCTGAAGAAGCAGCCGCCGCGCACTCACTCCCAGCTCAGAGAACTGCAGCAGTCCAGGTCGGCCAGCGGCTTGGACGAGGTGGACATTGGCCGCAAGCAGAAAAGGGAACACTAAGCGGGCTTTTTCACCGTGTCATGCCTTTTTGTTTGTTTGCTTTTATTTATTAATTATTTTTTGCCTTTTTCAGTTTCTGTAATTGTATTAATTTAATTTGTTTAAGTTGCGTTGCACTWCTCTATGGTCGTAAGTCATTGGATCAAAATGAATCATCAGCTGAAGGGATCAGAAATACATTGGCACTTTGAATTTGTTTACAACAAAAGTTTTTTAAAAAGGCTTTTGTTTTGTTTTTTAACTTGATCTTGTTTATCCCTATAATTTCATTTTCGTAGCCTTGACTGAGCTGTCTCACGTGCTAAAGCCTACCTCAGGCTATTTTGAGAATAGCCCAGCAGTCAGAGGACAGTCATTTTTGGGTTGTAAATTCAAGATTCATGATTGGTTTTTATTGTGACAGATTTAGGATTAGCCCCGTATGTTTTGAGTGTATCGTCTGTGACGGATTTATACAGTTTGTGTATTGTTGTTTTTTTATCATGATTTTAATTTTGTGCAATCACTGTACATTGTAAGACTGATAGCTGTAAAATAACATGGGATGCATGTTTTGTACTGTATAAGATATGATTGTAAAGAAAAAAAGCTCAGCCTACAAAGGCTATTTCATTTAAATGATGTTTTTATTCTTTCCATCTTTCGAACAATTGAAGGCATTATCCATGTGACAAACCCTGTCAAAGACAAATCTGACAGTTTTTGTATGAATTACATTGTTTTGAGCTTCCCCAGCTCTTGCTTTGTATCTGCACAACTGTTGTGAATAAAGCTGAATTTGTCTACTGTCTTTATTCATTCATTCATTTATTTATTTACATATCAGAGGCTTTAACAAGTGCACTTTTTTGCAAACAAAGATGCTTTTCAATCACAAAAATAGTTTATTTTTGACAATCTTATTTATTGTAAGCCTGTCAACATCATTTCTACTATTGTGATAAGGATTTATTTCTCAGAAAGCCAGTAACTGACTTTTGTCATAAAAACATTTTGAATTCAGTGAATTTTACATTTAAAATTGAATGAGCAACTGTATTTTCCTGAAACCCTGTGATATTAATTTTTATCATCCATGACAAAAGGATCTTCTGCGTCCATTGTGTGCAGCCCAGAATTATTGAACCAACAGCACAGGTAGATAAAGAAAAACAACAGCTGTTGCCAAGATCATGTGACAAATTTCACTTTTGTTCACTTTTGTACAAATTGTTGCTCCAGGATCACAAAATCAAGAATTCCATCTGATTTCTGGAGAATGCTCTGGTTTGTCTGACAAACATTTATCTCATAATAGAGCATAGCTGCAATTTATTGGACCTGCTAATCAAATACACTGCCTGGCCCCACAAAAAGTCACCACCAATAAAAAAAGGTCTCACTCTACACTGCAAAAAATGTCCACCTAACCAAGTTTTAAAATCGTATATCCAGCCAAAAAGACTTTTTGATCTTGTTAAGAGACTGATTTACTAAACGAGAACTGATTGTGTAAGAATAATAATCATGTTTTCAGAATGTGTAAGATTATTTGTCTTGTTAGTCTGAAAATTTGACTCAAGTCAAAAATTTCTGCCAATGGAGTAAGAAAATTTTACTTGGTAAAATTCTTGAAATACTTGATTTGACTCAATTTTTTCTTATTTCAAGAATCTTACCAAGTAAAATTTTCTTACTCAATTGGCAGATATTTTTGACTTAATTTGAGTCAAATTTTCAGGCTAACAACACAAATAATCTTACACATTCTGAAAACAAGATTATTATTCTTACACAATCAGTTCTTG